AGTAATCAAAGCAAAGTATGCTTTTAAAGAAATGAAACATGTTCTTAGAGCCATTTTTCTCACAACATCATTTACATATGCTGTGAGTCCTTGATAAATAGGAATAGATACTGTGTAGAGAAGCAGACATTTATCTTTTACCTGTTTTGTAAAGAAATCCATTATTCTCCAATAAAATTAAAATAACAATGAATGCTCCTCTCCCTGAAATCTTCCTATGATCTCTGCCTAATACAGTACAAAAATCTGAGTGATGGTCAACCCTCTGGCACTGGCAATATTCTTCTAGTCGGAAACCAGTGGCAGAGTATTTTCAAACCCTATTAAAACTCTGACATACATACATTGCATTAGAACATGGCCACACGTGATTAAACTTTCATTAACAAATCACAAGACATATCAGTTAAAAGACACCATGAATGTGGAAATTCATTACAGGTCTGCAGGGAATTACAACTCAGGTTTGTAAATTGGAAATGCTGTTCTGCCACTCCACCCACATTGCTCACAATGGTAATGCTGTCAAAGGGCAAAAGTCAGGGAATACTGAGGAAAAAAACTGATATAGAGGTGGAGGTGTTACTTCTTTTAGTATAAACAGTGAAAAATTAAGGCTCTTTAATGTAAGTATATTTGAAATTAAGAATACAACAGCATGGATCAGTGAAACCACACTTCAAGATGACCATAGAGATAAGAATGGATGGAAGGTAGGAGCCATGGAGTCAGGGCCAAGCATGGATCTTTGAAAGTATGTAGTATTTTCACCCAAACATTTTAAGTATTTTCACCCAAACACTTCACAACCAAGAACCAGAAATTAACAGAGATGCAAAGATAAAAGCAAAGACAGATGTGCAGCAAAACAATTTCACTTTGAAATAAAGTGATCAGATAGATTTCAGGGGAATTCATACTAGTAAAAAAAAGTAAATCTCAGTAAGACATTAATAGAAAATTCTACACATAAAATAAGTTGTGAACTGATGCTGGATGATAAATCTTATTCTCTATTAAATTATTTCCGTGAAACATTCCTGAAAGGCCATGGACTCTTCCACAGTGTTTTCATTATTTACTCAGTTCTATTTACAGAGGACTGTAAACAGAGGACATCTTCTGATACATTCTATATGGCTTGTAAAGTAGAGAAAAAAATATGCCTCATAAGATTCAGGGGCCTATTGATAGTATAAATAGTGTTGTGACTGCATTATTTTCTGGATGTAAACCAAGTCTGTTGCCTCTCCCAGTTTAATCCTTTCCCAGTTGAAGTCACTGGAGTAATGGAGCAACAATATGAAAAGAAAATATTTTGTACTGAAAATGTGAAAATTTATCAACTAAAGGAATATCACAACAAATCCAGACCAAAGCAAACACCCCTCTTTCCCCTGAAAGATACAATAGTGGTTAGGAAGTTGTAAGTAAGGGTATGAACTACTGGGCAGAAAAAAAGTACTCTAGAGATGAGAAGGCTCTATTGAGACATCATAGCAGCCTTCCAGTGCTTGAAGGGAGCACACAAGAGACCTGGAGAGGGGTATTTTACAAGAGCATGCAGTGATAGAATAAAGGAAATGGCTTTAAACTGGAAGAGGGTAGATTTAGATTAGACATTAGGAAGAAATTCTTTACTGTGAGGGTAGTGAGGCACTGGAACAGTCACTGACCAGAGAAGTTGTGGATGTCCCATCCCTAGAAGTGTTCTAGGCCAGGCAGGATTGAGGCATTGAGCAAACTGGTCTAGTGAAAGGTTTCTCTGACCATGGTGGGTGGCTTGGAATAAGATGGTCTTTAAGGTCCCTTCCAACCCAAACCATTCTATGATTCTGCAGTGTCCTTAGAGGTTGAATACACTCATTGATCCCACTGAAAACGAAACCCTTTTTTCCTGATGAAGAGGTACTGTTCTGTCCTACTGCACACAATTGCTTGAACCAATGCATGGAGAGCAGCTGCATCATGCACCAATATGCTTTAATTTATGGTGAAACCACATGTCAAACTACAGAAAAGCATCTTGTGGTCTGAGACATTCTCCTTTACTCTTATGAAATACAAACAGGCTGGTTTTCCCTCTGCAGGAAATCAGTAATTCTGCATTAAAATCATGCAATTCCTCTATTTATTTTTTGTTTGTGCCTTTTTATTAGTCTGTCTCAGAGCACTTTAGGAGTCAAACCTGTAAATGTCTCTTATTCTAAAATAAACAGCACTCAGCATGACACAAATGACATTTTGTGAGGCTCCAGGAGGGAGTAAAGTAGGACTGCCACAGAGTTCCTTCTTCCTCTCTAAATGTCATTACTCAGTTTGATATACTAACATAAATCACTTATCCAGTTGGACAGCACAGCAGGTCACTCTAGAAGGGATTTCAGATAATGAAATACATTTCACACACATAAACATAAAGTACAAAGCCAAAATACAATGCCAAATGATTCCTAATACTTTACTTACTCAGCACTCCATTTGCCAGGTTTATTGTTCATGTACATAATAAACTTGATTGCATGCTGCAGTAGCCTTGTTTATTGGTTCAACCCCTTGAATTCATTCCATATTCATTTCGGTGTTCATCATTTTTTTGTCCACATGTTGTAGAAAATCCAAACAGTTGATACAATGCTGTGTGCATATTTGGTGGAGTACATATGAGGACTATGCTAAGGTTATTTCCCTGTACCTGATTAAGGGCAAAATAAAAAGATCTCAAATAATATTAAACATGCAGTCCAGTAGTTTTCTGTGAGATTTATGAGTTCTGTTCAATCTTTTGTCAGATAAATCAGAAATACAGAAGCATCCACGGATGCATATACACATCAATCAGTCAATCCTATTTAGATACAGATCAGTTGTATCAATCTCTTTTGTCAGGCAAACTCATAATCCAGAAATGCCAGACAACCAACCAAAGCAATTTCCATCATTAGCATTCAATGAAGATTTTGAATTTAAAAAATCAAACAAACCAAAAATCAACAACAACAAAACTGAGAACCCAGCCCCCCAAACACTTCAACAGAAAAAGCATGTGATGTGCTATTCATGGCCTATGTGGCTGCCCATTTTATCCACTTTTATTTTAATATCCCTTGTTTTTAGTCCTAGGCAGTATAATGAGAAAGAAGAAAATATTGTGAAACATTTTCAGTAAGTTTTAGGGGAAAAGTAAATGGTCGAAGAGTAATCTGAAGAAGTAAAAAACTAGATACTTCATTCCCTCTTGTCTGAGAAAAAAAGAAGTATGGTAGATTTTCCTATCTCTTGTTGCATTCAGCAAGCTTTTGTTTTAAATTATCAGATCAAAGGACTTCTCCTTTCTTCATGGAAGAAGTGTTCCAAAACATCTGCAAAAGGATGCAAAAAAGCCCTTTGCATCCTACTTAGTCACCCCAAAATTTCACATTTCATGACTGCTACCAAACATTTGATGGCTAAGCAGTTAGAATGACATTACTGCTTAAGACAGTGGCTCTCTTCTGCATTCCTAAAATTTTTGGTTCTGCTTCTGCATTCATTCTAGGCTTGCACAGGGCACAAGAATACTTTTAGGGCACCATTTCTTACTAATGCATTGCTGTATTTTGGAGTCCAAACCCTGACTTGCCTTTTACTGCTATTACGCTTATGTTCTATGAACACTCTTACTTCTATCTTCTGCTAGGGAAAAAGCCCCAGATGTGTAAAGAATTTGGCATTATTTTCTTTCTTTAAACTTCTTTGAAGCTAGGAAAAGTTTAAAGCAATATCAAAAATACATCCTCTGACAAGATGAATATATTTGTGAAGTATTAATAAATTCAACAAAATGCTTAACGTAGATGCCATTCATTTAATTTTATAGTTGGGCAAATGCAACCAGAAAGGGCATAAGAATTGCATTCTAAGAATTATAGAGATGGCAGCTGCCACATGATCACAAGGATGGGTGCAATTCCATAGGCTAATGGATGGTGTTAGGCTGCTTCTCTATCCCAGGCATTTTCTCTCCTCCTATCTCTTCTGCTACTTTCAGCACATTAAAACATATTATTTGCCATCTTTAAGTTCTGGCTATCTCCTCACATTACAGGAGAAAATGAAATAGATGCAATTGAGTTGCTTCCAGAATGAGGATCTGCACTGATCTACTAGGACTGCCCTACACTTAAATTCATTTTGCAGGATGAGAGGTAAAGCTAATACTTTTATTACAAAAGCACATGCTACAGGGCTAATGTCATTCTTCTGCTTTTGGTACACAGTGTCTCTGTGTGAAGTGGCATTGTGTAAGCTCTCAGACATCAGTAAGGCCCTGGTTGTGGCTGCTTGTGTTATGAGGTAAGATTATGGTTTATTAAAAACACTGTTTACAGTAGACTGCAACACTGAGATGTCATAAAAGTACAATGGAGAAAAGGAAAAAATTGAAAGATGCCCTCCCCTCTCTGAAAAAAATTATAGAAAAAGGAATTTTAGTGAAATATCAATAACAATAGCACACAACACACTTTAGAGTTTTCTGCTTTCAGCATTTAAACTTAAAAAATACTGTAGCATCTATCTGTGAAACAAAAATTTTGGGCACTATAGTTACAAAGCACTTAATACCTTCATATATTTATAATCAATCCAGATCAATATCTTTGTTGTACTCTGAATTAGTAAACTCTTTGGAACATTTGCAGTAATGTAAATCATTAATGTCTTATTTGTCTAAATGATCAATATATTTACTTCATAATTGCATAAAATCATCCTGGCCAGTTTTTATGGCCAAGAATTTATGACCACGGCAACCATAATTTCCACGTTTATTATGTTTTTGCCCTATTTTTTTAAAAATAATTTTACAAGCTTAAACCCTTAGTAATATCAACTTTAGACATCTCAATTTCCCTTCTTTTCCAGTACTAGAGTGCTTTGAGATTAATGATACATTTGTTTTTTCGAACGATGATTTTGCATAATTTATATTTCTGTTTTGTCCTGCTCACTACAGGACAGAATATTTCATCTACATGATTTCAAATAACTCACTTTCTACATTGAAGATGGAATTTCCAATCATGTTCAATTTTAAAGGCAACTTTTAAAGGTAACATTTACCACTACTTTCAGCTTTGCAAATTTTTGCTACAATGAAATTACTGTCTTCTAACCAACTTGAAGAATTGTCACCTGGGAAACAGAGCGGCAATGCTGTTGTAACACTTGCTTCCCTGTAACTAATGGAGAAAAAGGAAAAAAAAAAAGGCTTATATTTATGTAGTAAACCTAAAAGTTCAGATAAAATACAGAAACTACCAGGAACATAGATTATTGTCTGTATTGTGTGTACTGATTGGTATACAGCTTTCCTTTAACTAACTAATAAAAAAAATCATAGAATTCAGAAAGCCATTTACTCCACATTACTTATTTGACAAGATTTTCATTCCTCTTACCATGGAGTGTATCTGAAGATGCTGGCAAATAGAGAAAAATAATGTTTAGACTAGGGCTACTAGTTATATATATATCTGTTGAAAATTCTATCTTGCTGAGAAGAGTTAAATATCTATCAACTGTTTAAGAAAAAGAAAGTTGCGACTTCTGCCTTTTGTAATTTCTTTCCCTTCTTTCTCACCCAATCACACTGTTCTTGTTTCCTATGGATGCATTGCAAGCAGTCTTCCTTACAAGCTATTTATGCAGGACCTTCCAGAAATCCTTGGCATTGCTAGCCTTTACATAAAGACAACAGAGGGCTAAATAGCTTAGGCAGTAATTTCTTCCATCTCCTAGAAGTCAGTTCTTGTTTTCATGACAAGGGGGATGTTGACATTACCTCTGGTACACCAGCATTGACTCTTTTTGATGAATGTCTATCGCAATTCTTTTACTACTGAGGTGAAACACTAAAAATTGCTATAAGCTTTTTCTTTTATACTATGAGACAGGAAAGACCTAAAATTGTGCTGTGAGCTTCCTGCACTGAGTTTTCTCTCCTGCTAATCCTTATCCAATTTCTAAGTGATAAAGTGGGATCAAATTTTCAATGTGCAAGGATATAAATGAAGATTTACACAAAGATAATAAATGCAAGATTGTGAAAACAAGGTCAGGCCAGCATGTGGAGATAGATGTGAGATTAAACAAGTGTTGATAGATATGTAAGTTCTCAGTAATGGTTACACACATGGTTTCTCCTGAATTCAGAGCTAGGTGGCCATTTGCTAAAAGCGATCTCCAGCTTGCACCAGAGATGGCATCACAATTCAAAGGAATGAAGTCACTCATTAAGCTTTAAGAGTAAGAGGGCACATTAACAGGGAAAATTCACTTTCTGCTTCTCACAGCATGACAGCATCTGTTGTGGAAATTTTTAGAGTGCAGGCTGATACTCTGATGGAGAGTTGGCAATTAAAATAAAATATTTAGCAACTCTTTGAAAATTGATAGGATGGCGGAGACTAACCTGGTGGATACCACACTCTAACTGCTGAAACAGCAATCCTGCTCAATTCCAATGGCCACTGTTGGCCCATGTCTTCAGACCCTCAGATTTCCTTTCAGTGGCCTGGAATCCCAGAGTTGGTACTGTAGTTTGAAGTCTGCATTGCTTAAACAGAATACAGAAACTCACTCATCTTCAGTTATGTCTCCAAAATGCCAATGCAGTGACTAAGTGAGTAGAGTGTGAATCTCTGGCACAGTTGCATCTTTTTGTGTGGGTTAAATCCCAACATTAGAAGCGCAACTAGCTCCTATCTGAAAATCACCAAAGAGTGCAAATCTCTAGATGAAAACTGAGCCTATAAAGATCAACATTTCATAAGTAACTGCATTAACTTAAGATAATTTCTATTTGAATTAAGTTAAAACTTTACAGTAGCAGTAGCCTTACTTTACAGTGTCATTATTTTCTCTTGCTGCTGGTTCAAAGTAAGTCTAGCCAGACACTAATAGCTGGATTCTATTCTTTTATCACAAATAATACTAAGGTATTGTTTTCTCGTAATTCATTAATTGCCAAGATAAAAACAGTGTTCATTTACCTTACAGAAGATAATTATCTTTGGGAACCACAATTCAACTTCAGTATGGTAGCCATGTCTTCAAAACACCCCTTTCCACTTAGGAGGAGCCATTTCATCAACTGGCACAATTTGGACATCAGGTCATCTTCTTGTAATACCCTGTGGAAGTAATGGTCCAAAATGTTAAATGTCTTAAGTTTAAGCTGCCAAATGTGGGTGCCCTTCGAAGCCATAATAGCCAAGGAAGACATTTTCAACCAAATATTTAAGAGCAAAAATGTGTAATTGCATGTTAATTGTAAGAACTATAAACAAAGATGTATTCTAGCTCCTTTAAGTCCAGCTTGAAGTGGAATGATCATCAGAGACGGCAGCCAAAAAAATATTTAAGTTAATTCATCTGATGGATCTTGGAGGAGCTCTGTATCAAGCACTAAATGACCACTCTTCTCAATGTACCTCTTAGAGAAATATTTTTTTTGTCCTGGCTTAAATTTTATACAAGTAGTCTTTAATAACTATATTGAAGTCCTAAGCCTGTCCTTCTATTACATATATATCTGTATATATATTAAAAATAAGCAATTTTTTCCTGACAGATCTCGCCCAACAAAGGACATAAGGAATTTCATGTAAATTATTCTATTTAGCGAATTGTTGTAAATGGAGAAACATTTTTAAGAACTGGAATTTAATGTAATTAAGGAAACTAAATGATCAACCACATTATTAATTCAATTAATTGTTTTTGTATGCGTACAGATACTCTAGATGACATCAGTCATGCACAGAACATAGAATTTTCAAGACGACAGCCAAGTGTATCTGCAGCGGGCTCCTGCAGCAAGTCAGTACCTAATACAAGTCACTATTGTGGAATCGATCTTAATAATTACTTTAAAATATTGTGAGACCTATATTTTGTCATTCTAGTATTTACAAACATATTGTAGTATTTTATATTTCAGTGTCTGATACTTAAAACCGTTAGTCACATAGAAGTCTTATAGCTGTCTCCAAACTCTTTTCTGTCCTGCTATTCTGTCAATGGGTGTAGAAATCAAGACAACACAAAAACCTCCATAGCTATATGTTAAAATAGCATGCAGATAATTATTTTATTAGTAAATTAAAAAGTTAAGATGTCCTAATTTCAAGAGGCTGAAAGTGCTATATGAAATTTCCAGAAGTTTTATGAAAATTCCTAAATTTCTAGAAGCTACATGAAATTTCTAGAAATTAAGTAGAGCTGACAATATGAATCCAAGGATTGTTTTCTCCTTATTCAAGCAATTATAATTTATTTAATTTTGCCCCTTTAATATTCTTCTTATTATGAATCCAATGCTAACTATTGCTTTTTGCTTTCTAAACCAACACATTTTGGAACTATGAAAACTTACAGCTGAGAAAAATTGCACAGATTTATCAACCAAACAGAGTTATTGAAGTGTAATACAGCAGACTGTAGGCCTCACAGAAAAGGACTATGCAAAAAGAACCCCCTTTAATCTTGCTCAGCAAAGCCCCCAGGTATACATTTTAGTATAATTCTGTTCTCAGCTCCCACTCACTTCAAGGAGATGAACATGCACAATTGTAGGATTCAAGTTCTTGAAATAAAGCATGTGCTTCCAGGCCGTGTAGAACATGAATTAGGGGTTACCTTAGGATGTCTGACTGCAAATTGTGGGAGTTCAGAAGAAACTCAGTGAGCTGTGCAGCTGATGGCAGGGCAGAAAATGGTAATTTGGCAAAGTTTTGTAGTGTAAATTGTTCCAACTCATGAGTCCAAGCAATTAAAATACCTGTGTGCTTCTTTGCTTGAACTGAAATTCCCTAGGTAGCTGCAACTGTTCCTACACATGCTGCACAAACTGACAATGTCTGAACAGGTTGAGAGCAGTCTTGCTTAAGCCTTATTAAATCCAGGAGCTCAGGAAAACAGTGATGAAGTCTTGTAGAAGTCTCAATCAAAAGTCCTTCAAAGGCATTCAGTTATAGCTCACACCATTTCAAGGGGTTCCTTTTTAAGGCTAAAAGGTTGTTCACACTGATATTTTTATCTGCTCCTTTAAAGGAATTAGTGGCAAAACCTACAAAAAAAAGAGGCTTCTCTGTAAACTCATACAGCCTTTCAGACCTCTTGGGGATGAGCATCTGGCATCAGATTAAAGAGGCTCTTCTGGGTCAGAGGAACACCTGCATATGCTCATGAGCATTACCACAGGTGTCTGGAAGTATGTGCAGCATCTTGGGAAAAAAGTGGCAGCTCAAGGTGGTTCCAGACCCTTTTTTTTTGTATTTTGTTTATGGTTGTTTGGGTTTTTTTGAGCTAGGTGGCATTACAAGAATAAATAGTGTCATAATAATTCTGCATGTGTAAATGTGAGTAGCAGTATTTCATTGTCTTTCATAGATGGTTTGCTGAAACGTTGCAGAAAAAAGAGTTACTCAATTTCTATTGTCATCAAGTGGGTTTTACAGTAATATAACAAATCAGAAGTAGACAAGGCCATTGATACTAGCATCTATTGGAAAAATTTGTATTTTTGTTATTTACTGATGTTTAGAATAATAAGATCAATAAACAGAATTTGGACTTCAATATTCAGGCATGTATTCACATAGGCAAAATACAACTTGTGGGCAGTTGCATTGTCTTTTCACTGCATTGTTTAACACAAGTTTTCTGTGCTTTAAGAACCAGAGACATTAAGAAAAATACTGTCACATTAAATTTCTTCTAAAAAGCCTAATCAGTTTAAGCATACAAATGAACAATCAAGATCAGGACAGTAACTGTATTTTTCATAACTTTTCTACAAAGTTTGTATGTATATGCTACTGTGATCCTACAGGTTTCCTTCCTGCTTACTTTATCTAACAAGCCATCCTCCAAAATGTTCCTGGTGCCATGTTAGCTTATACTGATTTCTGATAGGGCTAGCAAAACTTCTGAGTCTACTTATAACTATATAGCCACTTGTACTTCCTTGAAATTCTTCCATATGGCCAAAGAAAAAATTTAATTTATTTTTGTGTTTTAACATAGAATTGGATTAATCAGAGATGCTTATGCTAAGACTTAGATCCATCAGTTTAAAAACTGATGGCCTGTTAATATGTTTATCTAAGACCAGCTGGTAAAGTATAATAAAAATATTTTCAAGCATTGTCAGAAGAAAAGTTACAATATCTTGCATGCCATATTACTAAAAACAGTGAATATTCTACAATTAAGAGTTATGAGAGAAAATTTAACTCTTTAATTCAAGAAATTCCTATTGCACTATCTTTATAATTTATAACAGTCTTTGCTAGCCTTTCATGCAAATAATCTTTCCCACACAACGTTTGCTTTCAATTTTTATTCCTCACTAGATACAATTACATTACCCCAAGAAACAGTAAGTTTTCAAATTAAAAGCATGCACAGGATAAAAACACAACCCACATCAAATATTCTCCTAGAGTTCAGAAACCCTAAAAAGTCTAATAAAACTGAATGGTTTCTTGTTCTTGGTCAGTCATGAATAGCTCCTGTAATGTACTCAGCCTGCTGGTTACCTTGCTCATTACAACCTACTTTCTGTGTCCTTGCTCTCTAGTTCACACAGCTGCATTTGCATTTTGGCACAGCTTCACAGAGGAACTCAGGAGCTGTGGTTAAGTCTGCCCATGATAATTTTTTTTGCTCTTGGAAGCACATCATTTGTCTTTCAGGTATCCTGAATAGCCTGAGGTAAAAGACACCTCAAAAGAGGATGAAAACTCATCACCCTGCTGAGGGAGTCAGCAGCAAGCTCTGCAGATGGGGTGACACCTTCCTGGCTGAATGCATTCTTAAATCTTTTTGTGAAGTCACCCTGGCAGACCCATCCAGCCTAGTAGGGGGTGCTTAGTGAAAGTCAGGAGATTCTACATTGTCACAGGTAAACAAACACACCTGTGGGTTTTCATGTAGGCTTCATATGTTCCTATTACAAAAATGATCGTAACCACTGTGTGTGTGTCCTCTAGCAGGTAAACTATGAACATACCACCAAACTATGCTTTCTCCCCTTCTCCTAGCAAAATAAATGGATAAACATCTCATCTATGAATTGCAGAAATGTAGAGCTCAAGGGTTTTCCCAATTTCTCAGGCAGGTTCTAAGCTCATTATGTCTGTAGCCAATGTGTGATATGACAGTGGTGGCATTCTCTCTCCTTTGGAAGCACTCATCTAGCACTCTATCTGATCTTGTTCCAGATTTCAAAGTCTGCAGTGCTGCAGTACTGAAAGGATATGTATAGGGACATAAAGGATAAAGGACATAAGGACATAAAGGAACCTGGAGGCAAAAGAGGAGAACTTTAGCACAATTGCAAAATAGAAACTTGCAATTCATCTGTCATAACACCCAGATTGGAAATTTGGGCAGTGTAGAGAATAGTGGAGGGGAAAGTTGTGCCAACTGGAATGTTTACCCCACGTCAGTGGCTGCTTTCTGGGTTTCTAATGGAGTCATAAGTCCTTAATAGTTTCTAAAAACGTCCACACACAATTTTATTCTTGTCAGATAATTAAAAGCTGCACACTTAATATTTTCATTTAGACTGCAGTGTAATCTTGAGCCAAATGTATCACTGGTGTAATTTCACTCTCTTCATTTAATTACCAAGCCTGAAGCTGGCCTTTTATAATTGTTTCCTGACAAGAGTTTTAGAAGACTAAACTATAAAGCAATATTTATAAAGATCACTGCAAGTGCAGATTCAAAATTACTGTATTGAGTTAAAAGCTAGAGGTCTCTAGTTGAGTAATCAAATCTCCTTGTTCCAAGCATAATTATTTGAGTCTGACTCAGTTTGTTCTATTTAAAGGCAAACTGAAGACTTGCAATATTGAGGTTACTTCAATAAGCTGGTATCACAGTTTCCATTTAGCAAACAGAAAATGCTACTAAACTTCATTTGCAATTTGTCATGCTAGGAAATTATTTTGTTAGCTGTTAAGAGTTGTTTAACTTCACAACTCAAATCCTCACACAGATTTTTCTTTTCATGGAAATATGTCTTTGCATTATTTTATTCCTTCTCTGTGTCTTTAAAGATAGAAGAGACATCACCCTTCCCCCAGCTTCTATGAAGGACCAAGTACAAGCAAGGAAGAACCTGAAAACTCCTGTATGTTTTGGGGACCAACAGTATCATACAGATAGCTAAACTTAAGCCACAGTAAAAAGGATGAAAGAAATAGGTCAAGCTATCCAAAAAAACAAGAAAACCATCATGATATGCACTTAGCCCACCTGTTTCCTAGCTCAGTTTCCTCTATTAATAAAAAATTTTTAAATAGTACAAGAGCAGAGAAATTAGCAACAACAAAGGCTAACAGTGCTGTATTGAAATCACCACCATAACACAGCTTCTTCAACCTCAGATTAGGCAACAAAATGATCAAGAATGGACACAAAAGCAAACCAAACAATATATAGGATTAGAAAAGGAATAGATAATGAAACAAAACATTGTGCCAGAGTACAAAATTTGTGCTTTAAGAGCACCTCAGAAAATACAGGTCTGGTCTCCACCTCAAAATGATCCACAGAGGGCAATGACCTTTACCAAAGATATGAAATTAGAATGAGGAATAACCAAGCTTATTAGAGGTATTCAGCTTGGGTAAAAAAAACCCCTTACCTCTTTGCCTATGTCCTACATTTATTTCTAGAAAACACCTTTTTGTCACTGCTTGAGATAGGCACTGAACTACCCAGGTATTTTTCCTTTTTATATCCTTTGCTCATTCCTACAGTGCAGCATTTTGTGCTCCTCCTCTCTCCCCAAGTACTGACTCTGCTTCTCAAGCTCTGACTCCTGCATTCTGTGGCGTGCAGCTACTGCTGAGGCAGCTGCAGCATAAGCAAGCAAGTTTAAAGACTGGTCTTACAGTACAGCTGAATCACATTGCAGATGATTGGCACAGTGGAAATGAAACAGTTTTAGTGCTGAAAATTGCCAGCTTAGTTTGAAGAATGCACATATTTGACAATAATTTTCCTGTCATGATTTCCCGAGTGTTATGCCATAGTGCAACAAAGGCAACCCACTGATGCACTGCTGACCATTTCTACATTCAGTGCTTTTGGAGTCTTTGCTGCAATCCTTCTTAGTAGCTGGCCCTCTTTGATGTCCTGGAAACATACCACAGAGCTGTTATTGTGGTTTAACCCTTGTCAGCCACTAAGTCCCTGTGGGCTTGCTCACTGCTCCCCAGTAGGATGGGGGAGACAATCAGAAGGGTAAAAGGGTAAAAGTTTCGCTGAGGTAAAGAGAATTTAACACAGGAAACAAAAACTACATGCACAAACAAAGCAAAAAAAAGGAATTAATTCACCACTTTCCATGGACATGTGAGTATTCAGCCATCCCCAGGAATCTGAGGCATAGCCCCATACTAACTGCTGTGAAGAAAATTAATTCTATCCTAGCCAAAACCATTACCACAGTGATAGTGGCCACTCTAAGAGTCATGAAGACTGTCCATTAAGATACAATTTGTTCATCACATTTATCTCATGTGCTCAGTATCACCAAGTGTCACCTGCACCCAGCGCCTTCCTTTGAGATTTAAAGATACACAAGGCCACAGCATTCTCAAAACATATTTGGAATTCCTCCTGTGCAAAAGAATAAAAAAGCTCAATTAAATTAAAAAAATTAAAATGAAGAAATCTTTTCTTCTTACACTTTGGAGAATTGTCTCTGCAATAAACTACAAGACTATGAAACAGGCTGAGCTGCAACATCAAAATTCCCAACACTTTTTCCTGATACCCACCCCCTGTCACATAGATTGCAACAGTTTCAGGAAAGCTGTAGAAAGAATTAAATTGCTTGGGCGGGCTTTGCCGTCTAAATGTGGAATTAAAAGAGTTTCACTGGTTAGGCACTCAAAAAGTGCTTTGAAATTGCAAACACTCATCAGTTTTCAGCATGAGAAAAGCTTTAAAGGTACAGTAGTCATTTCAATACTATCTCAAATTTCCTTTTGCTATTCCAGAGGCCAACAGTGGAGGAGGAAGCATTTGCTTTGTTCATTAGTAGATCATACATCTGTGACAGCTGGAGGGCCAGCAGTGCTCCCCAGCTGCAAAATTGCATACACTCTGAGGAGCATTTACCTACTTTCCAGATGCTCATTCTTTTTTTTTACGGAACAAAAATCTTGACCATTCTGCCATCAGTCCCTTTATGCTTTATAATTTAATAAGTCAAACTGTACAGTTGGTGATTTTACAAAAAAACCCAAAAAAAAAAAACCAAAAAAAAAAAAACCCAAAAAAAACCCCAAAAAAAACCAAACAAAAAAAAAAAAAAAACAGAAAAGTAATGAGGTCAAGAAAGTCAGCAGGAAATGTATAACAATATCAAAATGAGACAGAAACCTTCAGGCCAATTGTCTAAGGCCTGATCTTGACAATGCAAAGTTCAGTGGCTCTTCCTTCTGGGTAGACAAAGGCTCTCAGCTGGGTTGCCCTTGTTCAAAGTCATTAAGAATCAAGCTACTATTTTCAGAAATTATCCTGGATATAGAAGGCCACTGATGTCAGCATTTCTC